CCCCGCCCTCCGCCGCCGCGCGGCCCTGCGCGCTCACCCAAGCTTGGCTCCCCGCGAGGGCCGCGCGAGGGGGCGGGGCGGAGGAGCCGCGGAGGAGGGAGGGGGAGGAAGGTGAGGCTGGGGGATGGGGTCGGGCGGGACTCGCTCTAGGGGAGCCGAGGGCTCCTCGCGAAAGTGTCCGCGGCGCCGGGAGGCGTGCAAAGGCCCCGATGCTGGGAGAAGACGCGGAGGCCTCCTGGGGGAACCACGACGACTTCAGCCATGACGCAATAGGCATGCACGATTATACACATATATTTGAACTCCACCCGGAAGGCAAGAGCGTCCTATCGGCCTCTCGGTGCACAACGGAACTGGAAATCAGGAAGAAAGAAAGGCCAAGTGGGTTAAAAAGAATTTTTGTTAAGGCGCGCGCGGCGCCGGGGAGAAGGTAGTGGGGCCCCTGAGCTGGAAAGCAGGGACTCCTGGTTTCGTACTTGGTCCTCCCCACCAGCACCCCCACGCTTTCACAGCATGAGCCTTGACTCATTTACTATGAAACGGGGTGACCGAGGGAGATGCAGCGGGTTGAAGCACGTCCCCCCAACCAGCCAGCAAAGGGAGACCCCCGTCGGCTCTGCGCCGGGCCACCGTACTGTGGAGGTGACATTCTTCGAGACCCCCTTTCCGGCCGCAGTGTCCCTGGAAGGTGTTCGGTTGTAATCCCAGAGAGCTGATACACCTTTGTGCTTTAAAACTTGACTTGTGCTCCAGCGGCAACCCCAACACCACCACCACCACCACCACCACCACCACCACTCCCCCCGCCAACCCCCTTCTGGCAAAGCTTGGAAACCTCCGTCTCTCCAGGTCCTGTTCAGTGGCCAAGAGTGCAGCGCTGAGCATTTGGGCACTGGGGGCGGGGGTACCCGCGCGGACACCGCACCCCACCCCCAACTTGCTGACTAGAGATAAATCGCTTCCTTTCATCGATTCACAGCGTTAAAAAAAAAGAAAATGCTGTGTTGAGAGGCAGCGCAGAGGTCAAGTGGACCATCTCCCTTAGGCTATAGATAAGAAAAACCCCAGGCCTAAAGAGGCGAAGGGATTATCCCAAAGGCTTCCAACAGATCTCGGCACTCAACACTGGGAGCACATGTGGGGAAATGCTCCTTGTTCTATTCCCACCCTCACTTTCCAGGCCTGAACTCCCAAACCCTAATCTGATTTCCACTCTCCCAGGGAGACTTCGGGAATAATGGAAAGTTCCTTTCGGATTCGCACTGAGCATCTTCTCAGACCCCGCCCTTTGGCCCTTTGTGTCTGCGTGTGGGCATTTGCATTGCTGGCTGCTTTACGTTCAGTGAGTGGAAGATGCTTTGTGTGTACTGAATGACAGGTTAAGGAAGGCGGTCAGATCGTGGTTCAAGGCGGGTCTCTGTCACTTCCTCTTAGAGGAAAGAGAGAAGCATTTGCCCATTCTTTGCCGGCAGGACCATTTGCTCAGGTAGCATTTGCTGGGAGCAGTATTCTGGAAGGAGGGTCTGAAAGAAGCTTCTGAAGGGCACTGAGACAGGAGAGCTGAGTTTGGTCCTGGCTGTGACACTGGTTAGCCGGGTTACCTTAAGCATGTCACTTCCCTTCTCTGGGCCTCGTTTTTTACATCTATAAATGAGCTCCGGTTTGTCTTATCTCACAGGGACCCCAGGTTCTGGGAGAAGCTCTGGAAATGTCAGAGCACTCCAAGTGGGGAACTGATGTCCGATGATTCATGCAGTGGTGACTTCATTGGTGACAGTGACCTCATTCTTTTGGCCCACAGAAATGCCCGAACTGACTGCCAGGAATACTTAGAGCTCTGGGTCTGCTCCCACTTGGTGTATATGTGGGGTGGGGAGGGGTCTTATCCGGGATGCCCCCTCATCAGCCCATGAATGCTTTAACTGGGAGCACCAAAACAGTCATGAACAGAAACCTCACTTTCCCATGGGCAAAGAGGATAATGCCCCACTGGTGAAAAAAGAAGTTCTCAAATTTCAGGGGTTTGAGAGACAGGAAGCACTTTGTTTCTAAGTGTCCCATTTGCTTTTCTCTTTTTGTTTTAATTGCAAATGTAGAAACAGACACAGGTCTGTGTGAGAACAGTGACATTTCTAATGAGCCTTCCCCTTCTCTTTTCCTCTACTCCCTCCTTCCTCCCCTTCAGTGATTCATTCTGTATTTCAATGAGCAAGCATGTATTAGGGTTTATTAGATGCCAGGTTTTATTCCAGGGCAGGGAGTGAAGAGCTGAGATGCCAAAGTCCCTGGAGGGGGGCGGGGCACAGAAAGGAGCCCGTGAGCAAACAGGTAAGCACTTTATATCATGTGAACAGTGCTGTGCTGGAGAATAAAGAACAAGCTTCTGGAAGTGCAGGAGAGGCAGCCAGTATGCAGCTCTGGGGGTGCTGAGGAAGGATTTGCAGAAGCGTCATCTTTGGCCTGGAGCTTGAGGGCCTGACAGGAGTAAGGTAGAAGACCTGGAAAGGCCAAGAACCCCACACCAGGGCGAGAAGGAACAATCCACAACATCCTGGGAAAGATGAACCATCTCAGATGGACAGAGTGCAGGATCGTGGTACGCAGGAACTGATTTGTATTATTTGGAACCATGTAATGCAGCCAGTCCATGAGCTTCTGAAAACCATATGAAGGAAATTGCAGGATCCTGCCCAGGTTGGGCCGTCTGCCCATTGCACAAAGGCCAAGGGCCAGGGTCAAGGGAGGTATTGAGAAAGAAATCTGACTCACATGTTATCCACAAAGGCATGGTCCCAGCTCAAGGCAATGCTCATTGCAAGAAGGGGTACTTCTTTTTCTTATCACAGATGTGACTTCTGTTGGTAAAGCTCTGTGTCCATAGGGGTGCATCCACTCAGAGGGGGCACCTTTTTCTACTTAGCAAAAGACAAAGGTACCATCTAGGCAAGAAGTGAGGATGTGATGAAGAAAATCAACAAAATCGTGCAGACCATCTTCTGTATAATGTGGCTGTTTACTGTACCAGGCACTGTCCTGCATATTTGGTGCTCACTGATACAGGTCATCTTATTGCATCCCCAAAACAACCATGCAAGGTAAGATTCGTAGGGAACATCTATTGATTTGTCTGTCCAGAATAGCACCAATGGCGTCTACTGAATGTTTTTTTTTTTTTTGAGTTGGAGTCTCACTCTGTCGCCCAGACTGGAGTGCAGTGGCCACTCCCGCCCACCGCAGCCTCCACCTGCTGGGCTCCGACGATTCTTCCGCCTCAGCCTTCCGAGTAGCTGGAACTACAGGCACGCGCTACCACACCCGGCTCATTTTTGATTTATTATAGAGATGAGGTCTCGCCAAGTTGCCCAGGCGGATCTCAAACCTGGCAACCCACTCACCTCAGCCTCCCAAAGGTGCGGGATTACAGGCTGAGCCACCGAGCCCGGCTACTGAATGTTTTTTGTCATTTAATCTTTGTAATCATGTGGATTAAGTGGAAGCTGCTATCTTATTATACACCCTGCCCTGCCACCTGTTGATTAGCCCATGCGGGCACCTGATTTAAGACGGACTCATCAGAGTCCTCTCCCGAGAATTTTGAATTTGAGATCCACCGCAGGGCTTTCTCCTCTTTTACTAACTAAACTGGACAACGTGAGCCTGGAAGCTCTAGGCCATTCATATTTTAGCCATTCACGAAATAGCCCCTCCAAGAAATGGATCTATCCAGGCTTAGATTAGAGCTAGCCAATCCAAGAAAATGAGGCTAACGTTCAGAGACAAGTAAAGATGGACACACTCACACACACAGCCAAAAAAAGGGCAGAGAGGAAACAGGTCATTTGTGAGTACTTGATTTTAGTTATCCCTGAGGCCCTGTCAGGCTGCTGTTCTTCAGTTGGTCACTTGAGTTCATCAGTCTTCTCCTCTTTTTGCCTAATTAGTAGGGGTTAGTTTTCTGTCACTGGTAACCAAAGGAATCCTGGCCATTATGGTATCATCACTGTAGTTTAGATAGGTGATGTGCAGAGATGTTAAGAAATTCCCCCAAAGCCACACAGCTGGTGAGTGGCAGAGCTGGGTTCAAAACTATCTGTCTTCAAAGTTCATGCTATTTGCCATGTTTCGCATTAATATCCCCAAAGTTGTTAAGTGGAAAACGACAAGTTCAGAGAGGATTGCCTGAGCCCAGGGGTTCAAGACCAGCCTGGGCAACTTGGCAAGACCTTGTCTCTACAATAAATCAAAAAATTAGCCAGGCATGGTGGCATGTGCTTGTAGTTCCAGCTACTTGGAAGGCTGAGGCTGAATGATCACCGGAGCCCAGCAGGTCGAGTCTGCGGTGGCCGTGAGTGTGCCACTGCACTCCAGCCTGGGTGACAGAGTGAGACTCTGACTTAAAAA